CTGACAGATCTGGAACCCAGCTTTCCATATTCCTAGCAAAATGCTGTATTTAAAGGAAACCTAGCAGTTTGGAAAATAAAGGATCTACACTTTAGAATTTTCATATATTGGCCTTATTTAGAACACAGTTCACTTGTACATAAAACTAATACATCTTCAGAAAGATCCACTAAACAAACTAACACTGAAATTTGCAGATAATAATTAAGAAACCTAGAGATATCAAAACTTAGACCATCAATAAAGGTACAAACATTTAGACACTGATTAATAACCTGCCAGGGAATATACCTGATACTGGAGGAAACCTAAGAAAATGCTTTCAAATGATACTATTAAAAGAAGAAAGGTGTTACACGTAGTGAAAAACTACACTTTAGGGAAGAATCTGAGATAATTCCAAAAAGAGAAGGAAAAGCAACAGGTTCTTAAAAAACACTTCAAAAGCCCCTCTGGAAACCATCAATTCTATATAAAAAGCTCGCTAACCTGCTCATATACAGGACACTCAGGCTTTGAGAGATTATGACTAATTATATGGAAGTGAGACATTGAGTAACTTTTTGTACAGTATCCAAATTACTGAAACAGAGTGATTTTATTTTCCAAGTGTTAAGCCATACCCACAGGAAGCAAGCAGGGTTATTCTACCTTAGCAAAGCGCCTTAGCTAGCCCTGCATTCTGCAACAAGTCTCCATGGCAAATTTCCTAACACACACTTCCAAACACAAAGAACTTCTCCAAGTGAGCTGTAATAAATAGGCTAGTGCTTCTACTAGAAAGATATTCTGCTGCTCCTGGATCTTTTTATAAAAGAATGCACATTACTGTCACCTTGCCATCCTAAAATGGTGTAAAAATTATAAAATCGCAGAGCAGCCTTAGAAATAATCTAGTGAATCCAATCGCTTCATTTTTCAGATGGGAAAACTGTCACCAAAAAAAGTGGAATGACTTGCCCAAGGTCACAAAAGTACTCAGTGGTATGGTAAGGACTAGGATGACTCACCACTGTTTCCATGAAGGCCCAGAAACAGCCTTTATCATCTTACGCTATCATCTACGATGGTGAAAATTGTGCTGTCAGCCCACAGTTCTCAAAATTGTGACAGTAACAAAAGCCAGACAGATACACATACATGATCGCTTCCCCACCACCACTGTAATTTCATCTCTTTTTCCTCCAATCAAGAATAATGGAATGTAGGTGATTATGAGTGGCCTTATTACAGGGCTATCATAATATGGGAATTGTCTTGAATCCTTTAGAAAAAATAAACTTTTGGAATTTTAATGTTAGTAAGAAACATTACTTCTTTTAATAAACCTCAGGGTAAACTGAGACAAGCCAGTGCACTGAGACACAAGATACAGAACTGCTGTTCTAAAATAAAATAATCACTACAGGTGCAGCAAATAGTGTGAAAACAGGAATCCCATAAACAATAATACAGATTATATCTGACTCTACCCCAGACTCTGGTGAAGCAGCTTTCAGCAGGAAACAGACACTGTTAGACTGAACAAGTTTAAACGAGCCTAAGAAGCAGGTATCCTCTCTTCGGGGCCTTCTCAAATCACTGGACAAAAGGCTAAACGCTGAGCACGCTGAATTTGGCAATCCCATGCAAGAATCATGTCTGAATTCCAAACCCCAATTCTCCCCCTCCGTGCAGCCTTAAGTCTTTATTTTTCACTCCAACACTTTAAGTCCTGCCTATGTACCAGGCTCTGTGGACTCAAAGTTGAGTAAAATGAAATCCCTGCTCTCTAACCGTCAGTCTCGAGGTCTCCAAAGTGGGATGCACCCATCTGCAAGGCGCTTATCTATAAAACCAGAGGGTTTTATACTTATATACACATATATATATATATATATATTTTATATTTTATATATGTTGTTG